TTCTAACACTATTTACTATTCACCGAAAATGATTGAAAATAATTTTTTTTTATAAGTCTTGCGTGTCACTCAATGAATTTTTTTTTCTAATTTAGTGATAAAACCTCATTAAAATTAATAATTTTCAATAACTTTTGACAAATAACATGAAAATAAATTCAGGAAGAGGATGTAAGGTTAGATATATCACCATCACCATGTGTTTCATACCGCATTTATTTGAGTTACCTAATTAATTAATGTTTAAAAATAAATTATTTATCATTTTAAATACTCCTTTCATTCTATAACAAGAATTGTGTTTGAATAAAAAATAAGTAAATATTTTAATTTTTTTTAATATAATATTAATTACTTCTTTTGTATTATAATCCTCATAATATTCTTTAGAAAGTGACTATGTTATATTATTTCTAATATAGAATTTTAATTATAATGTTAATTTTATAAAATAACTATTTCCTTTTATTTATTTATTAGCTTTTCTTTATTCATATAAAATAATCTAAAGCAACAAAATATATGTGTACTTATCTTCTCCAATATTCTAATAAGAGAGACAAGTTTTTTTTTTATCTAATTAATTCCTTGCAGTTATTATTTTTCACCTAAAATAATTGTTAATTAATTAAGGTATTATAGGAAAAAATAATTAATACAAATGATAATTAAAAAAAATCTTATAAATAAGGATGAGTAATAAAGTGAAGGTTATATATATATATATATGACAAATATAGTAATTTATATTTTTTTTAAAAATATTCTTAATATTATTGAGACTTTCATTTTACTCTTTTTATTTAATTAATTAATGCTTACAAGTCGTGTTCTTTATTTTCATAAATTAAAAACAGAATATAAACTTATCTCATAAATACATAATATTTATTGTAAAGTAATCATGGATATTTACTCTAAATATTACACATTTATTTATAATATCGATATATATTCATAAAAAAATTAAAAAATATGCAATCATGTTTTCCAATCTCGTAAGAGAGAGAATAAATTTATCTTATAAAATATATAATATAATACTAGTGGGAGAAAAAACACTTCATATCTTCATTTTAATATTGACAAATAAACTTGTATCAATCAATAATATTTAAATTTGTCCGATTTTAATGGGAAATACTCCATTTGATTGGATACGGATACAAATATCGGTATGAGTAATATCTGATTTGTCTACCTCGTATTCGTATTTATACTTGCTTTAAATTTTTAAAAACTTAATTTATTTTTAAAAATTTTACTTAACATTTATGTAATTCTTAATCTATTTTAAAATCATGTTAAATGAAATTTAACTAATATAACTTTGTAATTAGCATTCTATGTTGAAATTATTATTATTTTTTAATATTTTTTAAAACATATTTAATTAATTTATAAGTGGGTACGAGATGGTACGAGATGGGTACGATATACCCTATACCCCATGGGACGGGAATGAGAATATAAATTTATACCGTCAGATATGAGGATGGGGACAAATATAAGGTACAAATGGAGACATTGAAACTCATACCCACCTCCCTGTTGTCATCCCTACTTGAATACACTTTAATGAGATAGTATACAATTATTGCATATTAAAAGACTTTTGTAACCTTTTAATAACCTGGTTTAACAATTTTTTAATTATTTAAAAAGATTAATGTGTACATAAAAATAATAAATCATTATCTATTGGTCTAAATTTATTGTAAAGTAACAAATGATAGTCTAAAACTATTAGGGTGAAATTAGTAATAAGAATTTAGATAAATGCATAAAAATTTAAGTTTTTCTCTATTTGACAATTGTAATATTTCTTATTGATCAAAACTTGTTTTTATTACTAGTATAAATTTATTTGAAACTAGTGTAAAAAAAAGATAAACACGGGAAGGAGTTGTTGAATAGTGTTAATAAAAAATTTGCACGATTTTCATAGGGAAGTAATAATTCTAGTTAGATAAAGCGCAAAGAGTAATAAGATGTAATACTGAGTATTTTTATATTGATTTGTTTCAACCATTGAGACTACATCTAGTTCTCAATCCAACTAGATTGAGTTCTACTATCTTTAAACAAAGATACAAGTATTTTTTCAATAAGCTACTTATGACTCAATCCTAAGTAATTTTTTACTTTTCTCTTTAAATAATTACCCAAATATTCTTTTAACAACAAACATCTATAGACTTAAGTACCAAATATTCTTTTACAGTTAAATCTCTCTAGACTCAAAATGAGTATTTTTTTTTAAAAAACCTCTCTATGCTCAAAATAAGTATTCTTTTTCAGACAAACTTCTATAGACTTAACCTTATAACAATGGTTATGAAGATTACATAAGTGTTGTGTTCATCTCACTTAGATATTACACAACCAATACATAATAATGAAAGTTTACAAGAAATAATAGATTTGCAGAGATTATATTTCTATACAAAGATGTATATGTGTGTCACTTATGTAAGTTGTGTGTCTCTCTTTCTTGAACTTTAAATCTTCTTATATAGTAGCTTGAAGAAGATGATTATTGTAACATTTTGAGTCAAACTCATAATTTTGTCTCGTTTGTCTTCATTATCTTTCCCTTTGATGACAAGTAACCATTCGACTCATTTAATGTGAACATTAATTGTATTTCACCAAATGACATCTCTTATATGATCAAGGAGACTACTTATCATCTTTTCATACCAAACATAGCTTGTAGAGGTAATGTTAGTGCACTACAATAACAGTAGTGACTTTATTTGCTTTTCTTCGTAGTTTTAGGAATCTTTGTCATTGGTCCTAATGAAAATTATGATCTTGTTTTCTTTAATAAATTTTGTGAGTTTCAAGATAATCTTCTAGTTTGATTTGTTAAGAAATGAAACATTTAAGAAACTTTTGTTGTTAGTCTCAATAAATAATAAACATTTAATATATATGAAACTAACTGTATGTTTTGTTTGATTTAAAATGTCTTGCAGATGATCAACCTCTTATACTTCTTCTAATATGTGTGTTTCAAAGATACTTTTCAAAGCTGTTTTTGAGGATATTTTTTTCCTTTATAAAAATATTTTGTTTGTTAGCATTAAAACTTTAAGTTTAAAGGATTCATGATTGTCTTTTGACTTAACAACTAGTATTTTAGTTTGTGTAATGGATATGTTAACGGTTTATTATATATAACTAAAATTTATAATAAATTATGTATACAAATAAATGATATCTTTAAATATATAATTTATATATACATTTTAAATAAATAAATATTTTTAAACATGTAAATTATATTTTAAATTTATGATAACTAGTTTTTATTATAGCATATTTTTAATTAACAATTTATTTTAAAAATTTTAAAATGTAACTCATAAATAATCTATATTTATTATAAAAGAAATACACATAAATAATCTATACTTATCATAAAAAAGATACACTTAAGTAATCATCACCTTTTTTGATTTTTACTTTTAACTAGACAATTTTACCCTTAATTCTTGAAATTATACTATATGATTACCTATTTTCAAATTTTAATTACTATTTTAATACATAAAAATAATTAATACAGAGAGGCACAAAATTTTTGTTTTTCCTACTAGTTATGATAAATAGAATAGAATTATATATATAAAATTAAAAAAATTCATAAAAACCCTCTTATTCAAGAAATATTTTAAAAACATTATCATTTAAAATAGTCGAATTGATTATAAATTTTTGATAAATCTCACTATTTAGTTAATAATTTTTTTTCTAATTTTATGGTAAAAATTATATATATATATTTTTGATAATTTTCAATAAAAGTACGTAACCACATATAATATTAGAAATAAAATATTAAAAAAAATATTGTCAACTTGATATCATTTGTTATGAGGAATCGGACCACCATGCGTTCCACGCCGCATTCCCTTGATCAACTAACTAATTCCACCACCCTGTCACGTGCCTTCCCATTAGGAACAGCGGAATCGTTGCCCCCAAACACCCCCATCACGTGCCTGACCAAGTTACCACTTGCCATTGCTTTCACCTAATTCTAAAGTATGAATTAATTATTTATATATTATCATAATAAAGTTTTTTATATTAATAATTAATTATATTTTTTAATTATACTATATTATTGTTAAAAATAAATATATTTATAATAAGATGACATAATTAAAAAATATAATTAATTATTAATATAAAATCTTTTTACACTAAATGTTGATTAATTGAATCTAAATTCTCTTCGCTACTATTCATTCCATCCCTTCTAGAAACTAAATTTCACACCCCCACTTGCCCCTCGCAAAAACCAACAAACAAATAAACAACAACCTAAGACCGGAGTCGTCGTACTACTTTTCAGTTCCACAACAAGGGTCCATCACGAGAAAAGCACGGTTCACAAACGCGGTGGGACACATCGTGCCCCTCCCTTTTCGCCACGTGTTCTTATTCTCCAAACACTCCTTTCCCTTCTTTTACCACCACACACACACAAACACACTGTAAAAAAAAAAACACAAAAAAGAAAAATTACCCAACACACCACACGAGGGAAGGGAGCGGTGGTAAACAACAACGTACCCGAAAGTTGAAAATCGAACGAACAAAAGAGTGTGAGACTGAGCAATATATTAAAGAGACATTAAAGCCGAAAAGCATATTCTTCTTCCGAAGGTATTATTGATTTCTATTTCTAGAATTTCTAGAACAGCGTTTTCGTTTGCTCCGCCGCCACCACTGTTCAATCATCGTTTTTCTGGTTTTCATTTCGATTTGTTCCGTTTGAAGCAGTATTCATCGATCCATCGCCAAACATGCCTTCTAGTCACTTGCTTCTCGAGGAACCCATTAGGATGGTCTCCATCCTCGAGCCATCCAAGCCTGTTAGTTTCTCTTTTCCCTTTCAATCTCTGGATCTGTTTTATTTTTGTATAAAGATGTCGTTTTTTTTTAATTTATGTGTGTTTTTATTTTTTCAGAGTTTTTTCCCTGCAATGACAAAGATTGTTGGTACCCTGGGTCCTAAATCTAGATCCGTTGAAACTATTTCTGGTTGCCTCAAGGCTGGCATGTCGGGTGTGTCACCCTTTTTCTTCTTCAATTGTAAAGCTAGAGTTTTTTTTTTTTTGGGTGAAGGGTTATGTGATGTATTATTCTGATGTTTTTTTGGTTGTGTAGTGGCTCGTTTTGACTTTTCATGGCATGACCCTGAGTATCACCAGGAGACTTTGGAGAATTTGAAGGTTGCTGTCAAGAGTACTAAGAAGCTATGTGCTGTGAGTTTTCTTCCTTCTATGTTGCTTCTCGTGCTATATTCTGTTATCTTGGCACCGGAGAGTATAGGGTTCGTGAGGAAAATGACAAAAGGTGGCTGAAAGAGGGGCATGCCAGCTTAAAATTTTGTTTTTCGCATTTTGGAAGTTGGTTGCTTTGGTTGAAAGTAATAGAAATTGAAAGCACTGTCTTTGTATGTTTACTGTCTACTTTGTCTAGGTGTGATAGGTTTTATGTTGAGGATAGTTTGTTATTTGATTTTGACAGGTTATGCTGGACACGGTGGGTGCAGAGATGCAGGTTGTTAACAAAAGCGAGAAAGCAATCTCACTTGAGGCAAATGCTCAAGTTGTTCTAACTCCTGATCAGGGACAAGAAGCCTCTTCAGAAATATTGCCCATCAATTTTGATGGATTGGCAAAGGTTCGGTGATATTTTTGGCCGTGGCATCGTATGATGTGACTTTCTTGCATGTACATTGTTTCCATGGAATATTAACTCAACTATTTCTCCTGATTAACTATTTACACTTCTACTGCCTATGCAATGCATGCTTGGAGTTAATTTGTCTTTCTCTTCTAAATTTCCTGGCTTGAATTAGCTATAAATTTTATCAATATGTACAATTTAAATCCTGCTTAGGTCTTAGTATCAATTACTCTGATGTTTATTTGATTCCTACATGAAAATTTTCTCCTTGTGACATGAAATATCTTTGGATGTCTTTTATTTGAATTGTAATTTGTTGTTTGCATAATTTGTAAAATTCTTATAAGACATTGGCTCATTTCTATGCGTTTCAGACCAATATTTGACGTTAGTTTTTAACCTTAATGTTTATCTTTTTCTTATTGCTTATAGGCAGTGAAGAAGGGGGACACTATTTTTATTGGACAATACCTGTTCACAGGAAGTGAAACTACTTCTGTATGGCTAGAGGTAATATTATTGAACCAGAATGCAAAATTTATTCCAATACATCTCTTTTTATTATAATTTCAATGTTCTTCACAATCTTTTCAAATGATTTATATTGGTCCTTTCGTTTGGGTTGAGTTTGTATTCATTTATTTATTTTTAATGTGCTCAACCATTTGTTTTAGTCCATAATTTGAATACTTGTAATGGAAATTAAAATTTGCTGAATTGATATGCTCTAAATCTAAGTGTGGTCCAAGGCATAAAATGGAATATGCAACCTTCTGCATGCATGATTAGTTATGCCTGGTGTTGTGCAGGTATCTGAAGTCAATGGGGAAGATGTTGTTTGTATTATAAAGAACTCGGCTACATTGGCTGGGTCATTGTTCACCTTGCACGCCTCTCAAATTCATATCGATTTGCCTACTCTCACCGAGAAAGACAAGGAGGTAAGTTCTGCTTTTGATTATCATGTTGAATGATTCACCTTTCATTGCACATATAATGTTTGTCTGTTCCTAGAAAATGGGTTTCCTTAGTTTGGGATTTATTTTACTTTGTTTGTTTCAGGTTATAAGCACCTGGGGAGTTAAAAACAAAATTGATTTTCTGTCATTGTCCTATACTCGGCATGCTGAAGATGTTCGCCAGGTAATTTGAATTCCAAATCCTTTACTTTGATTTGTCATCTAAGACTAATTCATAAATGGTATTTAAATTTAATCTTCTATTGATGTTTCAGATGTTCTATTAACAAACCTTTTTATGTTTATAATGCAGGCTCGTGAATTCCTTTCAAAGTTGGGTGATATCAGCCAGACTCAAATATTTGCAAAGATTGAAAATGTTGAGGTTAGTTTGAATATCTTCTTAATGTACTGGGAGTCTGTGACGACTTCATTTTTGTGTAATTTATATTATTATTGGCTATACTAATTTGTTTGTATGTACACCTGTCTTGTATCTTAGGGATTGACCCATTTTGATGAGATTCTACAAGAAGCTGATGGTATTATCCTTTCCCGTGGGAATTTGGGTATTGATCTTCCACCAGAGAAGGTAAATTTCCTCGTAAAAATTAATTTTGTAGTTTGTAGTACTTGTTGTCTTGCGACTGTCCCCATGAAGTGTGAATGCTGAATTGTTCTGTGACTGATCATTGCATATATATCATGGTCAATAATTTTCAATTTGCTTTTATAGGTGTTTTTATTTCAAAAATCTGCCCTTTACAAGTGTAATATGGCTGGGAAACCTGCTGTGCTTACACGTGTGGTGGATAGCATGACTGACAACTTGAGGCCAACTCGTGCTGAAGCTACTGATGTTGCGAATGCCGTTTTAGATGGTAAGTCTTTATATGATGCCACCTGTTAGTTTGGTAACTACTATTACTAAGCTGTCTGGTTGATACCAAGTTGCATGTTGTCCTGTGACATTTGATACATTATCATTACTCATCAAAGAAAGTTGGGAATAATTCTCTTTATTCATACTAGCAGGAAAAAGGCACTCCGTGCCTGCATTGTATTAAAAAAAAATATGAGAAGTTACTCATAAAAAAGGTAGTTATTGAAAAATCAACAAAGAATAAAATGGTCCATGTAAAAATGAAAATCAAAAGTAATTATTGAAATTGGTATCCCTTATATATTAGTATAGATTCATTAATTTCAAGTTCTTAAATTTGATTAAAAAATATTATTTCTAATTTTTTAAAATAAAAGGGTATAATGGTAAAAAAAGTGGAGACCAAGGTGGTTACCAAAAAGTGTATCCCCTTTATATATTAGTATAGATTTTGATGATTTTAAATTACAATGATGTCATTTTTCCTCTATTAATGCTGGAAGCTGTCTTTTAATATTGGTTTACTCAATTGATTGGACCTTCTGTAGGTGATTTTATAAGGACCCCATCTCCATTGCCCTTTTCGAATGATTGTTTTTTCCTTTCTTTTATTAGTGTTTGTGAACTTTGTTTAAGTTAAAATGACTTGATGCATGTGTTTATCAAACTATTAATAAATATACAGGAAGTGATGCCATTCTTCTGGGTGCTGAGACTTTACGTGGGTTGTACCCTGTTGAGACTATTTCTACTGTTGGCAGAATTTGTTCAGAGGTAAGTTGATTTAATAGCTCATTATTTTTGTTGAATACATTAGATTTGTTCTGTTTTGTTGATCCCTGTTTCATGGTTTCTGACCAAAATATTCTCTTTTATGTTTGCAACTCTGCTCCCTAAATGAATCTGAAGTGGGTGTTCTATAGTTTCGAGGTTGATATCTTTCTTGTAAACTGATAGTGAACGGTGATCGACTCCTGACACTGTCAAAGGTGTATTCTGAGAAAAGGTTTTGGAGAAGTGGGGGATCTGAGTCCGTGGCAAGCATGGGAGTATGGGACATGTTGTGGCTTGAGCTGACTAATTGCCTAGGTGGCAGGGAGTGCTGATTGGGGAATGGAATTTGGTTAGGTCAGAGGGGCATATAGAAAATAGAGAGGAGTATTAGAATAGTGATGGAGAGATACTTTTGGGGAATTTGTGGGTTAACAAGAAATTGATGGAGTCTGTGGCCTTTGATAACTGGTTCAACTTGCTGGCACCAAAGAAGATAATTCTTGGTGTCCAGTTTTTTTGAGATTGTGTGGGAAAAGGTAAGAGATGGAGAGGGATTAGGGGGAGGGTTCTTTGATGGAACGGTATTGAGAGGTGTAACATTGATGGGTGGAGGAGGGGGCGGCGGTGGTGGAGAAGAAACCGCTGGGGGAGTTGATTCATCCATGACAAGAACGAAGAAGAGAGAAGGAAAAGAGGATCGAGAGCTCTGATACCATATTAGAATTGTGAGAGAGAGAAAGAGAGAGCGGAAGAGAGAAGATGAGAGAATGTTTCAATAAGCAAATGTTTTTCACTGCAGCACAATGAATACAGGATGGGTTTATATAGAGCCAATCTATGTTGGCCTATAATAAAGACAATAAATGTGACAGCAAGAAAAAGATAAGAAACGTAATCTACATTACTATATTACATATATAAGTAAGGAGTAAAACTATACTCCAATAAGGAGAATGTAAGGTTTACGGAAAATGTAAGGATGAATCAGTAAAGAGAATCAGTCGCTCCAATATCAGTACACTAGAGGAGATATAACTCAATTTGTTCCTTTGTTTCTCTTAATTTGAGTCCAGTTTGTTATCATTAATTAATACTCAGGATCTGTTTGGATAAACATCTCCAAAAGCATTTATAGGAGAAAAAAATAAGAAAGAAAATCAAAATAAGCTTCTCCATAAGTTCAAATTAATTTATGCATTAGTTAAAAGTACGATTTTTGGATAAGCTTAAATAAGAAAGCTTCTACAAATTAGCTTATCCATAAACTAATTTTAGTTTATGGAGAAACTTATTTCATTTTTCTTTCTTAGAAATGCTTTTGGGGAAGTTTATCCAAACAGATCTTTAATTTTACAATTGTTTGATTGGGAAAACTGAGTTAATATGTGCCATCATTGGTGTTACTAATATCTTGCTATTTTTTAATGTGTACTTGCCACTTCATGATCCATTATATCATAAGACTTGATATGAAACTACAGGATGGAGTGAATGATGTCAGTATTTGGTTAAGGAGCTACCACTTGATGTATTGGTTTCGGAAATCAATATATTAATGGATCAATTGAATATGATGTTGTCTGGGCTCTGGTTTCTACTGCTGGATCTAAAATTCAATGCTTCTGTACATACTTTTTCCAATATAGAACAGCATGCAGTATTTTTTGCTTGAAGATACTGTCGTTTAAATTGCTATTTTCCCGAGCTCATTTAACTAGATTAAGATCTATGCTCTGAGTGACTGAAATTTGTTCTATCAGATAGGTTATTTTCTTTCATTTAGTAAATTTATTCATTTCCATGATAACAAGGAAAATGATACTTGAAGTTTTGTGTAAGTTGCCTAAAGTGAATTTATAGATTACTAGTCTAGATTCATTAGCATATTTAGCTATAGATATGACTGGTTAGTCAGTACCTAATTAGCTCAAGTACTCGGTGCACTTGTAGTATAAATAAGATGGACTCCTTGTACACAATACACACAATTTCTATCAAGCATTCTGTTTCAACAAGAATTGGTGTGTATTGTTAAAATCCAATCGTCTCTGGTTCTAATATGAATTTTATGTTGCTTTTGTATCTATCTTGAAATAAAACAGGATAAGTATGCTGTTCTCTTTTCTTCTGTTAGAGATTCCCAAGTATCATTAGTTAGCTGTAGTAGAGTATCAATAGTTAATTAGAACAGTTGGTTAGTGGGAGAGGGTGGAAGGACAGGGGTAAAGCTTAAATAGAAAGGGTAGAAGGGAGTAGCATTCTATTTTTATATCAATCAATCGAGAACTGAGCATTAGCGCTGTTATAGGTTAGGGAAACCACTTGGAGCAGATATCTTTCTACTTGTTCTGTGTTCATTTTCAATCAAGAAATGAAGTCATTTTCTTTTCTGTTTTCTGGATTCCTAACTTCCCTTTATTTTTTATTTTCATTCTTTGTTTAATTTTCTCTCTTATGGTGGTTCCTCTCTGGCATTTGCTTTGCAAATCATTTGTTGGGAATTCCCTTGAATCACATGAAATGTTCTATTTGAGATGTCTCAAAATGTTGGCTGAATTCTCTGCCTTCCATTCATGTCCTTGTAGGCTGAGAAAGTTTTCAATCAAGACCTTTATTTTAAGAGAACAGTCAAGTATGTTGGAGAACCCATGACCCACTTGGAATCTATTGCATCCTCTGCGGTATTTTTCTCTTATTTTTTAATAGTATTTTCTTGTGCATGCTTTTCTTTATTTCTTTTATATATATAGAGAGAGACAAGTTTATGGCTATTGCTTTTGCTTTATGGGTGTGGTGGTTGATTCTTTTCATATTTTGAAAGCGGGCTTCTTACATGCTAATATTTACTTGTTAGGTACGAGCTGCAATTAAAGTGAAGGCTTCTATTATAATTTGTTTCACTTCATCAGGAAGGGCTGCAAGGTGCTTTCTCTATGAGTAATTAAATATCAAAGTTAATATATTTTAGTATATCGGAAAGATGAACCAGTCCCTCTCAAATTGGGTTCGACTTGGCTAACAAACACCATCCTTTAATTTAATTAATATCCATATCATTTTTTTTTTCTTTCCTTCATCTTTACTTCACTTATTTCCATAAGACTATTTGCTTAAAGAGGCCATATGTACCTGTCAGATTGATTGCAAAGTATAGACCAACAATGCCAGTTCTTTCTGTTGTGATCCCCCGACTTAAGACAAATCAGCTAAAGTGGAGCTTTAGTGGAGCTTTTGAGGTAGAATTTTAAATTTTGATTTAGCTGCTTATTTTCTATTAATCATCTGTGGCTGTTATTGATTCCCCTTTAGAGATTGGGCTGAATGTGTATGAAGACTTGGGTCCTAAAAAATGCTAATTGAAATGTGTTCTTTAAATGTTTATTTTTTTTCCTTTTATTTCTAAAGAAAGAACAATTTTTGGTATTTTTCAATTTCCAAGACCAACTGCCAACTTCATTCTTGGGAAGGCTTACTTTCATCTAATGCAATTAGTATACTGTAGTAAATATTTTGTAAATAATATTAATTATAATATAATATTATTTCACTGTTAATCATTCTCATCATATCGTAATTATTGTATTTGTATCCTTGTGTAAAGTAAATGTAGCCATGAATTACATTGATATTTGGAAGATGCTACTGTACTTTCTTGGATATGAACACATCTAATGATCAGAAAATTTTATTCACTGGGATGTATTGTGTTTACATTGGCTTACCTTGTTTACCAAACTTACGAAGAAATTTAACTTGTGACACAGGCAAGGCAATCACTTATCGTGAGAGGTCTCTTTCCTATGCTTGCTGATCCTCGACATCCTGTAAGTGTTTCTTATAGTAATTCTACTCGGTTATATTTGTTTCTTGAGTTGATATTGAGATTGTTTTTTCGGGAATGGAGGGGGTAGACATAAGATGCTGAATGAAGATCAAGGTTTATGTATCGACAGTGACAACTTAATGCATATTCTGGCTCTAGAGTGCCTTGTCCCTCTAGGTAGATGTGGGGGCAGGATTAGTTGGATCAAGAATGATTTATTTATTTTTAATTATGATCAGCCTAATGGCTAGTTCTTATGATACCACCTCTGGTAACATTGTTGGAACACGTACTCTTCGTTATGCATGACACTATGTTACTGATGCTTTAATGTTATGCATTACTTAATGATCCCAGGCTAACCATCTGTTGATCTCATACTCTATGCTTGCAGGCTGAATCAACAAGTGCAACAAATGAGTCTATTCTGAAGGTTGCCCTTGATCATGGAAAAGCATTGGGAGTTATAAAATCACATGACCGAGTAGTTGTTTGCCAGAAACTTGGTGATGCATCTGTGGTGAAGATTATTGAGCTTGAAGATTAAAGTGCATTCAGCCAACTACAGTTTTAGTGTTATTTATTTTACATGTTTCCATAGATTTTTTAAGATGCGGGTCATTCTACCACAAGTTGAGGTTATCTCTACTTTGATAAAACAAATTTTGATGCAAATTGTCAAACATAAAATCAAGGGAATGTGCCCTTGATGCCAATTTTTTGGGATTAGTATTCACAATAGAACAGAGATTGAAAATGTGATTATTGTATCCGTACCAAATTATTGATGGTAATAGCTTGTTATTACTTCAGACTAGTCATGAACAAGTATAATTTAATGATGAATGGAGTGTGGAGTAAAATGACTTGAGGCATGTTTGAATTTTCTTCTTGTGTAGAACATGAATCCTCCTATCAATGTGCACGAGGATCAGGGAAATGCCTTATCTAAACACTATTATTTATGAAGTATCTAAGAGTCTTTATGATAAATTTTGTTCATAGTTTTAACTATTTGGAGGAAAGTTTAGTGAAATAGTAGAGCTATGTAGAGAGAGAAATGCTTTGAACTGGTTTGGGTGGTACACTTTTTACCACAAGTAGTATGTTTTATATTCGTATGGAAGAAAATGGACCTTAGTTATGCGTTGTGCCCACGGTAACCTTTACGAGAATTAGTGGACAAAAGGCTTCTGTTATTTGAAAGATATGATTATTGATTAGTTAGGGATTTACCGAAAGTAGGTAAAAAATATAAATTAAATAAAAAATAGTGGAAGAGATAGGAAGAGTGTAATGTCTAGTCGTATTAATATTAATCTCAATAATATACATACATATATATATAATATTTATAGATAGAAAACACATGTATAGTAATAATATTATACATAATAACATATTAAAAATATTCACCACTACGTGCGTAGTTACTTACTTTTACATATATATTACATATTATTAAAAATATTGACAATACATGCCTATTTACATATCATAGTTTCTTTTTCTACTTCTATTATAATATTTACATGGGTGGTTGAAACAAATTTACAATTGGATTCACATGGTTAGCGGGCGGTAAAAAGAAAATGATTATTATTGGGTCGTCGATCATTGTAGGGACTTCTTGGTTTGGAGAGAAGGTAAAAGTCGACATCGCCACTCTATTAAATGTGACTGCGTTTGTTACTGCATCTACACTCCATGTAATTCCAGAAAACACTGCAGATATCACTGAGAGAAAAGGTCATGGAATGTGGGGCGCATCCATCTATATATATATATATTTGTTTTTTTTATATATAAATTAATACAAATTTTACACAAGAATATAAGGAGTGAAAACAATTTTCAAAGAAATATTTATAATCACAGAGCATGCGTAACAATAGTTAATATTAGAAAATATATATAAAAATTTGAATTACACTTGCAGTGACTAGTCAGGATAAATGAGCATTATAATATCAACCAACAAAAGAATTTTTAATCTTAACTCCTTACTCATTTAAATTCCCAAGGTCAAACCTCTAGCTACAAATAATTCAAATTTTATCTTCTATGGCCATAGAATAATATTTATCTTTAAAACAAGTCAAAGATATTTTAACAAAATTATATTATATTCAATCATAAAAACAATTACGCTAAATAAATTAGAGTATTTATCATTATTTAAGCTTTAAATAAATAACATATACGTAAATGAAATATATTAAGAGCATCAATCAAGTAAATGACAATGATAATCATTATAAAATAATTAAATAATATAAAATATGAACATATTAATAATTATTATGGATAAAAATAATCATAGATTAAGCAAATAAATGAGGTTATGGATACCTCACTAAATAAATATATATAAAAAATAACATAAATAAATAAACATAGTAGTACATAAAATTTTAAAGAGATAAATTCTCCTCCCCCTTACCTTAAAATAAGTAAATTTGCTACGTTCACTATTTCTCTTTTTACGTTCCCGTTTGCACTCTTTCTCTCCGTTCAGTTTGTGTTCAAATGTTTCAAGTGATTACTCCTATTTATAGGGGTGTAATACCCCTTGATTACGTAAGATCATGCGTCGTAACCTACATTATCAACTGCTGTGCTGTTCAGTAATTGCTCTACACATATACGTTATTATCTACTACTCTGTACTTATTTATCTACTACATCTCATATTCATATTTATCTACACCTATTCATCATTTTACTACACCTCATTCATATTTATCTACACCTATTCATCATTTCACTGCACACATGGCACACGTACACCACTCACCACACATCTCATATTATCTACACCTATTCATCATTTCACATCACACACGTCACACATACACGTAATGCACCACATCACTTATATTTTATTATTTAATTTAATTATATTTAATTACTTATTAAAATATATAAGTTATTATATACATTATAATAGAGTTTTATATATAATTATAATATTATAAATATTTATAATATTATTAGATATCATATATATATATATATTTATATATATGTGTATTTAAATATGATTATTTATATATATATATATAT